AAATGCCCTCTAATATCTGGTCCCCACACGCCTGTCAGTGTGTCATACTATGGGGGCTTGCATGTTGCTATGATGCTCGAAGTTATGACACCAGCATTCAAATAGAGCAGGGTCGCCCATGGCGGACAGGTTTCAGCTAAGCTTCCAGAGGAAAACAGACTAAGAAAAAGGACCTGGCAGTGAAAACCCTATGAATAGCAGCAGAACACTGTTTGATATAGTGCCAGAAGATGAGCATCTGAAGTGGGAAGGTGCTCAAAAGATGACAGGGGAAGAGCTGCCTCCTCAAAGTAAAGTCGACTTTAACGACATGGACAGAGTCCAGCTTTTGGGACCTTCATTTGCTGATGTGGCATGACTCAAAATGAGAAGAAACAGCTGCAAACACCCATGAATAATTGGAACCTGGAATGTACAAAGTATGAATCAAGGAAAATTGGAAATCGTCAAAAATGAAATGGAACACATAAACATCAATACTCTAGGCATTAGTGAGCTGAAATGGACTGGTACTGGCCATTTTGAATCTCACAATCATATGGTCTACTATGCTGGGGATGACAAGTTGAAGACGAATGGCATTGCATTCATCATCAAAAGGAACATTTTAAGATATATCCTGAGGTACAATGCTGTCAGCGATAGGCTAATACCATATGCCTACAAAGAAGACTGGTTGATACAACTATTATTCGAATTGATACACCAACCACTAAGGCCAAAGATGAAGAAATTGAAGATTTTTACCAACCTCTTGCAGTCTGAAACTGATCAAACATGCAATCAGAACACATTCGTATTACTGGTGACTGGAATGCGAAAGTTGGAAAGGAAGAATGGGTAGCTGGAAAATACGGCCTTGGTGATAGAAACGATGCCGGAGGGAGATCACATGATAGAGTTTTGCAAGACCAATGAGTTCTTCGTTGCAAATATTTTTTTCAACAGGATAAACGAAAACTAGACGTGTGGACTTCGCCAGATGGAGAACACAGGAATCAAATCGACTACATTTGTGGAAAAAGACAATGGAAAAGCTCAGTATTATCAGTTAGAACAATGCCAGGGGCCAACTGTGGAAGCGATCATCAATTGCTCATATGCAAGTTCAAGTTGCAGCTGAGGAAAATTAGAACAACTCCAAAGTACAACCTTGAGTATATCCCACTTGAATTTAGAGACCATCTTAAAAATAGGTTTGACGCATTGAACGCTAATGACCTGACACCAGACGAGCTGTGAAATGACACAGGACATCATACTTGAAAAAAGCGAGGCATCATTAAAGACAGGAAAGAAAGAAAAAAACAAAATGGATGTCAGAAGAGACTCTGAAACTTGCTCTTGAATGCCAAGTAGCTAAGGCGAACGGAAGGAATGATGAAGTGAAAGAGCTGAACAGAAGATTTTAAAGGGTTGGGCTCAAGAAGACAAAGTAAAGGATTATGACAACATGTGCAAATATATATAAAGACATGTGCAAAGACCTGGAGGTAGAAAAGCAAAAGGGAGGAACACACTTGGGATTTCTCAAGCTGAAAGAACTCAAAAAAAAATTCAAGCCTTGAGTTGCAATACTGAAGGATTCTACAGGCAAAATATTGAATGATGCAAAAAGCATCAAAAGAAGATGGAAGAACATAGTCACTGTACCAAAAAGGACTGGTCAGATTTACTGGCCTAAAGGAGACTGGAGAAACCCCGAGAGTATGGCCCCCAGACACCCTTTTAGCTCAGTGGTGAAGTTATCTCC